GGTGGGGCAGCAGCGATCGGCCGGCCCACCCAGGCGTCCCGTGTGCGACCCGACCCGGGGCGGTGGGTCGGGACAGCATGGCTCCTCTGCCACCCCAGCTTCCTCATCACAGCTCCCTTGGGGGCCTAAGCCTTTAGTCGGACATCCCCTGAGGGCTCCCTGGCTGCCAGAAGGATGTCTAACTGCAAGCTTCGGCCTGATCCCTAGGGGAGTGGGCCTAAGTCGACAGGTGGACATCCCCCAAGGGGTCCTGGACTGCAAATGGGCGCAGGCCGGGCTGAGGGACCCCCGCGAGTGCGCAAATTTTTGTGCACCGGGCCTCTAGTATATATATAAAATTGATTTCAGAGCGAGGAAGGGAGAGGGGCAACAGAGATAGAAACATCAATGATGAGAATCATTAATTGGCCACCTCCTGCATGCCCCCACACGGAGGATCGACTGCAACCTGGGCATGTGCCCTAACTGGGAATCGAACTGTGACTTTCTGGGTTATAGGTTGATGCTCAACCACTGAGCCACACTGGCTGGGCAATTTTCAGTCATTTTCAACCTTAAACTCATTAAAACATTTTTTAAAGTTTATTTTATAAGGCCTCTTGCTCTCTTCCTATTTCCTGGCTGCTCCTTTTAAATACATTTTGATGGATTTCCTTTTTCTCTGACCACTACTAGTTGGAGTGCCTTAGGATTAGAGAGCTCAGTTTATAATTGTTTCTCTTTTTTTCCACATTAGCTAACTGAGCACTTCCCATCCCATGGCTATCTATACCTTTTACACCTTAATAACTCCCCAAATAATACCACCAATTGTTCCTTCTCCTGGGAGCTTCTGATCTGTATTTCAATTGTTTACTCAGCAGTTTCATTTGTAATCTAATAGGCATCTCCAGCTTAATAGATCTAAAATAGTAACTGGGTATTTCCCCAAAAAACCTGCTCCTGTGCCCTCACCCCCAGGAGTTCTATCTCAGAAAATGGCATTGCTATTTATCCTGTTGCTCGGTCTGATGTATTTTTTTTTATCTTGGACCCCAAATTCAATCTATTAGCAAATCACTTCTGCCACCTTCAAAGTATACCCAGAATCCAACCGCTTCCTACCACTTAAACTGCAACACTAGCCTTGTAGGCCTGCAATACCTTCCTAACTAGTCTTTCAGCTTCTATTTCGCCTTCCTGCAGGCAGTTCTTTAAAAATCAACCAAAGTAAATTTCTTCATTGATAAATCATATCATGTCACTTTTTTATGCAAAACCCTCCATGGTTTCCTAGCACTCCTAGGGTAAAATCCAAAGTCCTTTCCTTGGTTCTATAAGTCCATAATTCATCTGACCCCCGTCTTGTTTCTCTAAACTAATTTCCTACATGCTCTTTTGCTTTCCTTACTGTTCTTTGAATACGCAGCACCTAGAACAGGACCTTACATGTAGTAGGAATTCAATAGTTGTTGGATAGAATAAATGAATGGAATGGTAGGGCATTTGATAGTTACTTGTGTTCTAGCACTCTTATAGATGTTTGGGTTACAAAGATGACAAAGACCCGGCCCTCACAGAGTTTTATTCTAATATATATTTAGATAAAAAATATGTAATTATACGTTAAATGTTACAGGTAAAAACATGTTATGAAAGCCCTGGCCAGTGTGACTCAGTTGGTTGGACGTCATCCCATGCATGGAAAGGTTGCCGGTTCGATTCCTGGTCAGGGCACATGCCTGGGTTGCGGGCTCAATCCCTGGTGGTGGTTGTGCAGGATATTTCTCTTTCCCATCGATGTCTATCTCTCCCTAAAAATCAGTAAGTATATATTTGTAAATGTTATAAATAAAAAATGCAGAGTAAGAGGATACAGGAGGATGGTGGTGTAGGGTACCATTTTCCTTTCTTTTTGTGTGTGTAAAAGGTATCATTTTAGTTGGAATGGTCAAGAGCTGCCTCAGGCAGTATTTGAGTAGAGATTTGTGGAGATTAAGTGGAGAGCTCAAGTCCAGTAAAGATCTGTTGTAGGATTGTAACTTGGTGTAGTCACTATGGAGAACATTTTGGAGATTCTTCAGAAAATTAAAAATAGAGCCACCATATGACCCAGCAATTCCACTTCTGGGTAATTTATCCAAAGAAAACAAAAAGACCAATTTGAAAAGATATATGCACACCTGTGTTCACTGGAGCATTACTCACAATATGGAGGTAACCTAGGTGTTCATTAATAGATGAATGGATGATGTGGTATACAAACAATGGAATATTACTCAGCAATAAAAAAGAATGAAATTTTGCCATTTGCTACAACATGAATGGACCTACAGGGTATTATGCTAAGTGAAATAAGTCAGAGAAAGACAAATACCATATTATTTCACTTATATGTGGAATCTGAAAAACAACAACAAATACCACAAAACAGAAAAAGACTTATAGAGTACAAGTTGATGACTGCCAAAGGGGTAGGAGGTGGGAGTGATGGAGGAAAAGCTTGGTTTTGGCCCAAAAATAAATGAAATGAAACCAGTGTTCTTAATTAGTATACTGTAATTGTATATGTGGAAACCCAAAGGAATCTACAAATAAACTATTAGAATTAGAAAGTTTAGCAAGATTGCTGGATACAAGAACAACATATCAAAGTCATTTGCATTTCTAATATCTGAAGAAAACAATCTTAGATGAACATTTTTAAAAATATATATTCTTATTGATTTCAGAGAGGAAGGGAGAGGGAGAGAGAGAAACATCAATGCTGAGAGAGAATCATTGATTGGCTGCCTCCTGCACGCTCCCTACTGGGGATGGAGCCCGCAACTCAGGCATGTGCCCTTGACTGGAATCCAACCTGGGACCCTTCAGTCTGCAGTGGGAGGCTCTATCCACTGAGCCAAACCGACTAGGGCTAGATGAATATTTTTAAAAAAAGAAAACAAGTGCAAAAGCCCGGGGCTGGAACATGCTTCCGCTGGAGTGACACCAAAGGCCAACAAGGCTAGAGTAGAGGTAGGCAGCGGGGGAGAAGTCAGAGAAATAGGTGCCAGATCCCGTAAGCCTGTGGTACAGGCTACTGTGATCACTTTGATCCTTACTGTGTCATGAGCAGCTTGAAAGTTTTGACCTGACTTACAGCTTAAAAGGACACCCTAGCTGCCCTATGTTTAACTAGGACAGTAGTGGAAGTAGACAAACCTGCTAGGTGTCTATTGCAACAGTCTAAGTGATGACTTATCGTGGAGGGTAGCGGTACGGGAGGCGAGGTCAGATTCTTGCACCCTGGCCTTTTGATCAAAAATCCTCCACCCGGGGAGGCGGGGGCAACCTTGTCAGGGGTCTCCTACATGCTTTCTCTTAGAAGCAGAGTATGCACTCCTGGGCCCATTCTTGGGAACCCTCAATATCCCACCCCACTTCAGAGAAAGAGCTACAAGTCAAGGCTCCGAACCCCTTCTTTAAAAATGGATACACGGAGGCTCTCGGGGTGAAGTGGGCCTCGAAGATATAGAAACCACTTATGGAAATAGTCCTCAAAGGAAATCGGGTTTTTGGAAAAAATCTGGCGAGAGAACTCCTTGTTCCCAGTATTCAGAAACAGGGCAGAAATGGAGGTCGCCCGGAAGGTTGCCTGCAGCCCATTAGAAATACATTTTATTTCCACCCCCACTCAGGGAGGCCGCTAACTCAGATCTGCCTTGCGTGTCCCGAGAGGTATGCGCGACCCTCCAAGAACTGGAAAAAAATCAACTTTGCCTCCTCGGCAATGCGCACGCGCGCCGACGTGTTTTCCGTTGGCCGTAAGCCCCGCCCCTCACGCGTCCTTCGAGGAGGTTGGGGAGCCGAGAGCTCGCGCGACCACTCTCCCCTCCGGCTTCTCCACGGCAGATCGTCGCAAACGGGGCCGGAAAGCGTGGCAGCGCAGG